GCCTCCGTCCGGCCCTGCTCCAGGATGGGGGTGAAGCACTGGAATGGGCTGCCCAGGGAGGTGGTGGAATCTCCATCCCTACAGGATTTTAAGGCCAGGTTTGACACAGCCCTGGCTGGGATGATTTAGTCAGGGTTGGTCCTGCTTTGAGCACGGGACTGGACTACGGGCACGTCCACACAGCCAGGCTGAAGCCAAACTAACCTACACAACCTGAGCTACGTCAATTGCGTAGCTGAAGTCGAAAGAGCTTATTTTGGCTTTTGGCACTGCCTACACAGCAGGAAGTCCAAGGAAGTGCACTCGTCCCCCAACTTCCCTTGTTCCTCGTAAAACGAGGGTTCCAGGAGTTGGAGTAAGCAGTCCTCCAGCTCGACATTATTTCAACGTTATGTTGAAATAACTGCATGTAGTGTAGACATAGACGATGTTATTTCAGGATTCTCAAATAACGCTGGTGTGTAGACCTACCCTAGATGACCTCCTGAGGTCTTTTCCAACCCTAATCTTCTGTGATTCTCTGCTAACCATGGATCGGGTGTCAGTCTTCCGGGCGGTGATATAAACACTGTGAACAGTTCCAGGCTGCCGAATAGCTATGTCCCTTCATTTTCAGTTTAAACCAGTATTGACTGAAACATTTCTCAGCTTTTTACAAAGAGTATTATTCTTTTTTTTTTCACCTTACTCTTGTATCATTCAGATTAAGGCTGTTAAAATGCAATGATCTGGCTAATCGTACCGTCAATACAACTTGTATCGATACGCGCTGCTGTGCAGAGCTGCGGCGGAGGTAGCTCCAGGCGCAGGCTCTGGAGCCGCCTGCACTGCTGCTCTGCATTTTAAATGTATTAAGCACTGCTGGGCTCTTGCTACATTGAAAATGCAGAGACGCAGCGATCAGCGCGAGTCAGGACTGCTCGGTCCCAACTCGCACTGAGTCCCACAGCCTCTGTCCACACTTGAGTCCCCGCTCACCCCAAGAGTCTCGGAGGGCTCTTGTACGTTTCAAAAGCAGAAGCGCCAGCAGTGGGAACCGGCCGCAGGGACTGAAGCAG